AGACACCTTTGTGGCCTTAAAAAAAGAAAGAGGAGGGTGGAGGGCTCGTATCCCCCCCCACCCCAGCCTGAGGAAGGAAGCTGGATGCAAGGAGGAAGGAGGGGGGCGTGGGCGGGGCTCCTGAAGGGAGAAGACAGACTGAGGGACCCCCAGGTCTCGGGGAGGAGAGCTGGCAACGTGGACTCCTGGGTCTGAGGGAGGGAGGAAGGTTGGGGGTCTGGCACCCAGCATCCTGGGTCTGAGAGAGAAGGTTTAGGGTCTGGCCTGGCTACTAGGTCTGAGGGAGGAGGGCTGGAGGCCTGGAGACTCCTGGGTCTGAGGGAGGGAGGAAGGAAGGTTGGGGGTCTGGCTCCCAGCATCCTGGGTCTGAGAGAAACAGGTTAGGGTCTGGCCTGGCTACTAGGTCTGAGGGAGGAGGGCTGGAGGCCTGGAGACTCCTGGGTCTGAGGGAGGGAGGAAGGAAGGTTGGGGGTCTGGCTCCCAGCATCCTGGGTCTGAGAGAAACAGGTTAGGGTCTGGCCTGGCTACTAGGTCTGAGGGAGGAGGGCTGGAGGCCTGGAGACTCCTGGGTCTGAGGGAGGGAGGAAGGAAGGTTGGGGGTCTGGCTCCCAGCATCCTGGGTCTGAGAGAAACAGGTTAGGGTCTGGCCTGGCTACTAGGTCTGAGGGAGGAGGGCTGGAGGCCTGGAGACTCCTGGGTCTGAGGGAGGGAGGAAGGAAGGTTGGGGGTCTGGCTCCCAGCATCCTGGGTCTGAGAGAAACAGGTTAGGGTCTGGCCTGGCTACTAGGTCTGAGGGAGGAGGGCTGGAGGCCTGGAGACTCCTGGGTCTGAGGGAGGGAGGAAGGAAGGTTGGGGGTCTGGCTCCCAGCATCCTGGGTCTGAGAGAAACAGGTTAGGGTCTGGCCTGGCTACTAGGTCTGAGGGAGGAGGGCTGGAGGCCTGGAGACTCCTGGGTCTGAGGGAGGGAGGAAGGAAGGTTGGGGGTCTGGCTCCCAGCATCCTGGGTCTGAGAGAAACAGGTTAGGGTCTGGCCTGGCTACTAGGTCTGAGGGAGGAGGGCTGGAGGCCTGGAGACTCCTGGGTCTGAGGGAGGGAGGAAGGAAGGTTGGGGGTCTGGCTCCCAGCATCCTGGGTCTGAGAGAAACAGGTTAGGGTCTGGCCTGGCTACTAGGTCTGAGGGAGGAGGGCTGGAGGCCTGGAGACTCCTGGGTCTGAGGGAGGGAGGAAGGAAGGTTGGGGGTCTGGCTCCCAGCATCCTGGGTCTGAGAGAAACAGGTTAGGGTCTGGCCTGGCTACTAGGTCTGAGGGAGGAGGGCTGAAGGCCTGGAGACTCCTGAGTCTGGAGGGGGGGACCACGGTCTGGCTACTGTGTCTGAGGAAAGAGGCTAGGGTCTGGTCTGACTTCTGGGCCTGAGAGAGGAGAGAGCTACGGGCCTGGAGGTCTAGGTCTGAGGGCGAAGGGCTGGCTGAGTTTGAGAGAGGAGGCTGGGCCCTCAGCCTCTATTCTGAGGGGGGTTAGGGGGAGGCTTGAGTGTCTGAGGAAGGAGAACTGGATTCTCTTCCACTAGGTCTCTTAGGAGCACTGGGTTCCGGACTTTGGGTCTGAAGGAGGAGCCTGGGTACTTCTGTATCGAGGAGTGGAATTCAGCAGTCTCTTGAGTCTGAGGGAATAGGCTGACTGCCCTTTGGGGGCGGGGTGAAGTAGCTTTTAAACTGCTGAATTCTAGGATGAACAGAGCAGTTCCCTCAGAATTTGAGTCCTTGTGAAACTGGGTCCTACGGGCTGAGATACTGAGGCCTTGAGAGATCTGCTGTGGATCTGAACCTCCGAGGCTTAAGGCAGAGGGCTCCCAGGGCTACTCTCCTGTATCTACACACTGAAGAAAGAGTGTTGCCAAAACCTTGTCAGCTATTAATGGCTGGGTCTTAGAACTATGGAAATTAGGCACAATAAACGTGTGACCTTGCTGGTAACACGCAAGGCACTTGAGGGCAGACTTCATGGCCTTGCGTGCCATAAATCTCCCACAAAGTGGACGCTTAGAGAAAACTGAGATCTAATCCCTGTCTGTGTGCTTGAATTGTCTCCTGTTCTCCTTTAGTTCCTAGGTCCTGGTCAGCTCTTCCCAGACTGAGAAGCCATGGCAGGCTGCTGTGTCCAGCATTTGCTGTTCCTCCTCCTGCTGGGAGCCTCCCACTGGACTTGTATGTGTGGGACCTAGAGCGAGCAGCTGGTTCCACAGAGGGTGGATTTATGGCGGGAAGAGATCACCCCACGGAGAAGAGCAATTGATTATTTTTTATCCCATCTTCCCAGTGGCCCAAAGTCTACACTGTGCAGTGAGTAAAGTCCTGCGTTTAGAAGACGATCCAAGCCGAACCTTTAACTGGACTTCAAAGCCTGGCAAGGTTGAGAAGTGCAGTCCTGGAGAACTTTGCCAGGAGACTGTGCTGTTGATTAAAGCAGGTAGAGTTGGATCCAGTTTTACTGATTCTCCTTGCTGGGTGACGGCAGTCCAGCTACACAGGGTTACATTTATTACCAACGTCGAAACCCTATGGCAGTGTAGATGGGGGTTGGAACGCTAGCTTGGTCAGTAAGGCACTCGCCTTGAGTACATCAGGATCTCAGTTGAATCCCCAGAGAGCCAGCACATGAAAATGCCAGGTGTGGCGGCATGAATTTGCAACCCCAGCACTGGAGAGGCAGAGACAGAGGGATCCCTTGGGCTTGAGGAAGAGGGTAGCCATGTTGTCTGCTCTCTCTCCCAGCTAAGCTTTAGGCCCGCCATCCACCTTCTCTACTCCCTGTCTCACAGAGGGAACCAAGACTGCTGTTTTGGCCAGTAAGGGTTGTGCCTCTCAAGAAACGGAAGCAGTGACTTTCATCCAGTATGCCCCACCTCCTGGCTTGATTGCTATCTCCTACAGTAACTACTGCAACAGCAGCCTCTGCAACAACAGCAAGTATTTATCCCTATTCTGGAAACCACCAGACACCACAGGTACCTGGGGAGTGGGGGGATGAGCAGGTCTCTCTTCTCTCGGGTTTCTGCTTGGCGTGGGCCTCAGGGAGCCAAATGCAGAAGATTCCCCTGGTCTCCATGGTCCCTTTCTGAGCCCTCCCCGTGGCAGAGGGACATCAGATAGTAAAGGCTGCGCTGTCAACCTGGGGTGTGTTCACTCAGCAATAAGGAGTCTCCATAAGTTGCTGAGCAGATGGTGGCATTCATTTCAACAGTTGTGGGTTCTTCATTGCCAGGTGGCAAGAATCCAGTCCCCCAGTTTGGCCTCCAGGCCTGCAGTCACCTGACCGACTTGCCCCTCTTTTGTGCCTTATGTTGTATCTTAGACGTGCAGTCACACTTTTAACACTAACACACTATAGATGGGTCAGTAGGTAAAGCACTTGCCCTACAGGCCTGAGGACCTGCGTTGCATTTCCCAGGACACACATAAACCTGCCAGCCATGGCACCATGAGTTTGTAATCCCAGCTCTCAGACGTGGAGGGGGATGGGAGGATCCTTTGGGTGTCCTGACCAACCAGGCTGGCCTAATTGGTGGGCACCAGGGCAGTGAGAGAGCCTTACTCAAAGGAAGTGGACAGCATTCCTGGGGACACCTGAGGTTGTCCTCTAGCCCCCACACCCATGCATGCGCCCACACGCAAATGCTCACACACCCATACCACATACACTTAAAAAAAAGATTGTTTTTCTTAATGTAGATATTACAGGTCATAAAAAAAAAAGCCAGTGACATGTCCTCCCTCACCCTGCCCCATCTCTGCCTCAAGCCCATGCTCATATAACAGCCTTCTTCTCAGTTCGGATCTCAGCTCCTGGAAGGTGCTCACTGAGGCATCTTAGGTAGCTGGTGTCCTCCATTTTCTTTACCTGTACCTTGAGTGCAGTACTGAGTTGTGATATCACTGATTACCCACAAATCTTTCTGCTAGAACTGTTCTTTCAGCTCTGTCACGGGGGTAGGCCGGGTGTGGAATTTATGTGGTCTCTGGGGTTTCTTATAGTGTGTGTGGGTGCATGCGTGCGTGCGTGTACTCATGCATGTATGTAGAAGTCATGGTAGCTGTGGTCTTTTTTGTGTGTGTGTGTGTGTGTGTGTGTGTGTGTGTGTTCATGCATGCACATGTGTGGAAGTCGGACATGTTAGAGAGTTGGTTTTCTTCCTCCACCTATGTTTGGGTGTGGAGGATTGAACCCAGGTCTCAAGGCTTGCACAATAAGTGCCTGTACCTGCTGCACCATCTCAACAGCCCCGTGGCTGAGATTCCGAAAAGAAAATCAGCTGGGAAAAGGGTAAGCGGGACTCAGTAGTGGGTTGGTTAGTGTGATCTCTACATGTCCCAGGTGGGGAGAGAAGGCTGCCAGGACAGGCTCCTCCAGGAGGTGGATACAGCCTTAACTCTCCCTCTCTTTGTCTTCATCCAGCAACTTCCAGTATATCATCAGAAGCCTTCCAATGCCCAACATGTGTGGCTCTGGGGTCCTGTTCCAGTGCCCCCGTTATGCCCTGTGCCAACAGTACAACTCAGTGCTATGAAGGAAAACTTGAGCTCTCCGGAGGTAAAGGCCCCTCAAGGTTCTGACACTTGGGGATCCAGAGGTGAGGGAAGACTGGGCTCACCGTTCCCTAAACTTCTGTCTCTGTCGCCCCATCCCCTCTGGCTCATAGGAGGGATGGACTCCGTTGTGCATGTTAAAGGCTGTACCACTGTGATTGGCTGCAGACTGATGGCTACAATGGACTCAGTGGGACCCATGACAGTCAAGGAGACCTGCAGCTACCACCCGATCCTTCAGCCCAGAAAGGCAGAAGAAAGTCGGGCCTCGTGGATGCTCACCTCACTGTGGATGCTGGAACTAGTGCTGCCAGCAGTGATGGTGGCCCTCGCCCAGATACCCTGAGAGGGCACTGTGGGGGGTCTGTGTCCCAAACTCTAGGCTTTTGGCTAGGAGGAAGCCGCCTGTCTGCTGGCCACCAATTGGAAGAATGGGGTAGGGGTGGGGCTTGAGGAGCAGAGAAATAGGATGTGTATTTGACACAAAAAATAAACTTAGTGCTTTTCTATTAGATCTTGTGTGTGATGAGGGGAGAGAGGAGAGGGAGTCCAAGGACAATTTTCAGAAGTGAGCTTTCTCCTTCCACCATGTGGGTCCCAGGGCATCAAACTCAGGTCATCGGGCTTGGTGGCCAGCACTTTTATCCACTGAGCCTTTCCACCTACCCAGAGTTGTCATTTGTGTAGGCTTCAAGCCATGCAGTGGGGTTTCAGTGCTGAAGAGGGCACTGCTAATGTGTTGTCTAACACACGTTTTCCTGGTAAGGAAACAATTTGGATAAATTTGAATTTCTCCCATTCCCATAACTATAGGCAAAGCCAGGCAAGATGGTACATGGTTGTACTTGCAGTACTCAGGGTGTATCAGGCCAACCTGCTGACATAGCAAGACCCTGATCAGAAAACTGCTGGATGGGGGTGGCGCACACCTTTAATCTCAGCACTCCAGAGGCAGAGGCAGAGGCAGGTGGATCCCTGGGAGTTTCAGGCCAGCCTGGTCTCCAGAGTGAATTCCAGGCCAACCAGGACGACATAGTGAGACCATATAGCAAATATATATACATATATAAAAAGAGAGAGATGTACACACACAGAGACAGACAGACAGACAGAGAGAGAGAGAGAGAGAGAGAGAGAGAGAGAGAGAGAACCAAGAAATGACTTTGGACAGAGCCAGGACATAAACATAGGTATTTGACCAAAAGTCTTGATTTTTTTTTTCTTTTACTCTAATATGTTCATCTCTCTGTAGGATTCCCAGCCTAATCTTTTTTGTTGTCATTTTTTGTTTTTTGAAACGGCTGGCCAGGGGCTCACTATGTAAACCAAACTGACCTCAATTTAACAGAGATGCACCTGCCTCTGCCTCCAGAGTTAGATTTTTTTTTTTTTGGTTTTTTGAGACAGGGTTTCTCTGTGGCTTTGGCGGTTGTCCTGGCACTCACTCTTGTAGACCAGGCTGGTCTCAAACTCACAGAGATCCGCCTGCCTCTGCCTCTGCCTCTGCTTCCTGACTGCTGGGATTAAAGGTGTGTGCCACCACTGCCCAGCCTGAGTTAGATTTTCTAATACAATATTTTTAATAATTCCTTGAGAATTTTATACATGCAATAATTCACCTGTCCATCTTCTCTCCCTAACCCTTCCAGACCCATCCCCACCTCCCTGCCCCTTCCCAACTTCATGTCCTGGTTTGCTGTGGTTTAGATAATGAAAGGCTTCCATTTTTCCATCCCCCATACTCCTGTGTGGGGGCCAACCCCGGGACTCTACCAGGGGCCACACCCTTAAAACTGACTCCCTCCCCTAGCAGCCATCTAATGTCCCTTCTCAGCTAAAGATTGGGGGCTTGTGAACCCCTCCCTGCTCCACACGGCAAGTTCGACTGGCTTGATCCTGTGCAGACACCCACAGCTGCTGGAGGGTCCTGAGTGCAGTGGTCCTATCCTGTCCACAAGGCAGTTTCTCTCTGGTCCTCTGGGTCTTAGAATCTTTCCACCCTCCTCCCCAACAATGGTCCCTGAGCCTTGAGGATAGGAGCGTGATACAGATGGCCCATTTGAGACGGAGCACGCCACAGACACATTCTCCACAGTTTGACCACTTTCGAGAAGTCTGTGTTAATGTGCTGGCTAGTTTTTTTATCAACTTGACACAAGCTAAAGTCATCTGAGAGGAGGGCACTTCGATTAAGAAAATGCCGTCACATGACTGAGCTGTAGGCATGTACTTAGCCCATTGTGGGTGGTGCCATCCCTGGCCTGGTGGTCCTGGGTTCTGTAAGAAAGACTGGGCAAGCCATGAGAGCAAGCCAGTAAAGCAGCTCCCCTTCTATGGCCTCTGCATCAGCTTCTACCTCTAGGTTCCTGTGCTGTTTGATCCTGCCCTGGCTTCCTTCAGTGATAGACTATGATAAATAAACCCTTTCCCTCCCGGCTTGCCCCCTAGATCATGGTGTTTTCATCAAAGCAACAGAAACCCTAAGAGTTAACCACAGTCCACTGCACAAAGGAACTTTGTGGGGGAAGGGGCAGCAGTCAGCTCATGAGCGAGCATGGGCGCTCTCTCTCTCTCTCTCTCTCTCTCTCTCTCTCTCTCTCTCTGTCTCTGTCTCTCTCTGTCTCTGTCTCTGTCTCTGTCTCTCCTCCTCTCCCCCTCTCCCTCCCACTCAGAGAACCTAAGTTCAGTTTGTACCACAAACAGGATGTTGTGCCAGGGGAGCCCAGAGACTAACCCAAAGAGTCGTCACTCTGATGCAAAAGCAAAAGGTTTCTTTTTATTTCAAGCTGGCCAGCTAGGATCTCACTGCATGGCGGACAAATGAGATGCCACCCAGTCAAAAAGAGAAGCTTTTAAAGGGGCAGACCATAAGGTTGAAGGCTACACATTTCAGAGTTTCCATGGTTACTTAAGGTCATACAAAGTACAGAGTCAGTAACTATACATTTTAAGGGAGATACATTTGACTGAGATAAGACAGGCTTGTAGGGTTACAGGGTCACAGGGTCTGTCAGTTATCCCTTGGGCTGGGGGACCTTTATGACCAGCAATCAGCAAAGGAATGTTAACAGCAGTAGTGGACAGTTACCTCCCCTTCTCTGAGAGCAGGGGATCAGGTGCCAGCCATGGCACTCCTGATTTAAGGAGTTAAATTTTCCTTTTCCACTAGATGTCCCCTTTTCAGGGCCTAAGTTTTTTAAACTGTTATGAATTTGAATTTTTGGTCCCTCAAGGACAGCTCACCATCCCCTGGAGCTAGGGGCCCACAAGAGAGCCAACGACTTCTGACCTTCAAGGGCTCACATGCACACTTGTAATTAAAATAAAACCTTATTTTAGAAGGGAAAACTTAGAGGATGCCTGAGAGCTGTGCTACTTTATGGGTGTAGAGATAAGAATTTGGAGAGCTTTCCAAATAAGCTTTTGCTTATGCCTGAACTTGAAAAAATGAGAGCAGCGGAAGAGACGGCTCAGTGCTTAAGAGTGCTTACTCCTCTTGCAGAGGACCGGAGTTGGTCCCCAGCACCCATGTCCAGCAGGTCGCCACCATTTGTAACTCCAGAAGATCCCTAACGCACACATGAAGATTTTCAAGTTAAATTTTGAGTGTTGGGAATAAAATATATGTCTAATTTATCCTTATACCTCCATGCCTGTTGTTTGTTTGTTTGTTTGTTTGTTTGTTTGTTTGAGCAAGCCCAGGGCCTGCCAAGTGAGCTATACATCAAGCCACGACATCCGAGACACCCTGATAATAAGGCAGGCTGAGTAGGTTAGGGAAACTGAGCCGTGGCGCTGAGATTCCATCTCCTGACACAAGGTGGCGCTCCTCTTCTCCCTCGGGTCTGCACAGCTGAAACCAACATGGGAAACCTGGGTGTTGGAGACAGTTGCATACCATAAGTGAAATGCCGCCAAATGACTCAGGCCCCACTTCTGAATGGTGTGGTCACAGTCCCGGCTCTGCCGTTTCCCAGCCATGTGACCCTTAACCTTGATTTACTTCCTACACGGCTTGTATGGTCGCTGTTGCTGTCGTTGGTGTTCCGTTAATTCTAATAAAGTCATTAGGATATCACCTGCGTGTTAGCTTTCTGTTGCTGTGATGAAACACCTGGGAGGACCAACTCGTAAAGAAGAAAGGTTTGTGTGACTCATGGGTTCAGATACTCAGGGTGGCTTTTCCCTGGGGCAGCACAAATGCCCTGGACTGTGAGCACATGGCAGGTCTCTTCTCATGGCTTCCAGAAAGCAAAACAGAGAGGAAGAGGTCAGAGC